ACCCAAAAAGAAGTTTGTAAAAAATGTAGGTATTTATCTACATTTGTGCTCGGAGTTTGACGACGTGCAAAAGGGTTCGATTCCATAATTTTATATTAAATTGACGCGCACCCCACAAGCGATTTTAATTTTCTAGTAGGTAGATCAAACTTTTTCGATAATAAATTTGGAAATTACCTGGAGGGCAATGTTGACACATAAAAGACCCAGGTAGATTAATGCATTGAACTAATGGACTAGTGGAACAGGGTGGATGATTTTGCTTGCACTCATCTACATCTACCGTGCAAGCCGGATTTGATCCAGAGCTGGTCCATCCGGAATCGCAGATGCATTTATATCCAATTTCACCGTTTTGTGGAACACAAATACCGTGACCGCATATATCTGCGCTTCCAGATACGCAATCGACAGATTTTCTATTGCAGTGCACTCCTATCCAGCCGTGTGTACATTGGCACCTAGACATGATTAAATAGTAGATCTCCCAAGTGCTTCAGAAGAAAGCTTACTGGTAGGTCCCTGGTAAATTTATGCAAGTACCCCCATTCTGGCATCCTAAATCAGTGCCTACAAACCTCGTGCACTCGTTTACATCTATTGAGCAAGTATTTCCCTACGAGGCAGAATTAATAAGCATGCGATCTACTGTGGAAATTAGTCGATTACCTCCCAACCCGTTGGACATTGGCAGACAAACCCAAGGAAAATATCTATGCAAGTCCCCCCATTCTGGCATGGATTAGAGGCGCATTCATTTACAGCCAATAGTTTAGTCAAGGCTTTCGTGTTTCTTTCAACTACTGCAATTCTTCTAGCAAATTGTTGAATTCTTGCGTTAAGCGATAAGATAAGTGTGTTGTTTGAAGCTGGTGCGGAACCCAAACCCATGGTCAATATTTTAGTTTCAATGCGGTTTATTTTTGAGTTGAAGTCCCATACCAAAATTTCATAAGCTTTCATTAGGTTCGTCACATTTTGCACCTACAATATACGGGAATTTTCTTAGAGAACATTTATAGAAAAAAATGTATTAAATAGTTTCCACTGTGAACCGGCATAAGTAATTAAAAATATGATTATTTTGAAGAGAAATGAAATTTTCGAAGATTTCCAAATGTGCGAATCTCAATCACCCGCAGAACCGGTTTGGAGCCTATTAGCTGATAGGCTCGAAATCGGTACTTACTTAAATCTAGTAATATTGTGCTGAAACGAAGCGCGCTTAATTACTTACGTCTCTCAATGTTGAAATTATATCCAAGCTATTCAACATGATTTTTTGTGCGTTTACATTTATATATCCTTTTTGGGGCATCATTAAGTGCAGGTTATTATCAGCAACGTAAAGTTGAGGCCTAAATTGATACCATTTTATGAAATAATAATCTTCTTAAATTGATCTAGGATCTTTTTTATGTACATTTATTTAGGCGCGCATATAATAACATAGATAAGTTCTATATTGTTGAGGCGGATTCATTTTTTACAAACTTCTTTTTGGGTATTTCGCCTCAAAAATTTTTGTCTTTAAAAAAGACAG